AAAAAAAAAGTAGAAATTTTAAAGTTTTTTTTGACATTTTTTTCCATGTCATCACTTTTTACATGCGTGCATCTGATGTGGCACGTTATTTTGACACGTCATCATGCTGCAGTTAATTAACATGACACATCATTGAATTTTTAACAGAGGGACTAAATTGGGGTAAAAATGGTAAACAGTAGGGACCAAATCAGGGATTTTTTGAGTTGAGGGACTAAGTCGGGGGTCCGTACAATAGTTGAGGGACCAAAATGGGGGTTTAACCAATTTTTTAAGATTGTTAACATTCCAAACCCTAGGCACTCTTTTGCCTTCGACATCTTAGAGAATGTATGCATTGGGGTGTGGGACCTCAGTTACAATGTAGGGGCCTTGCCAGTTTGGTGCTAGCTTGCCGTAGTGGGTCTCGAACCCTGTGAGCCCAGCCTTTCTGAGGACGAGATCACCAACTCTAAAGTTTCGAGGTCGGACCCGTTTATTGTAAAGGTTGGCTATTCTTTGTTTGCACGCGAGCGTCCAAAGTCGGGATTGTTCTTGAAATTCGTCTAGGAATCAAGATTTTCCCTAAGTAGACGCTCGTTTTTAGCTGGTTCGAAATGACTGACCCTTAGGCTCGGGACACCAATTTCAACAGGAATAACTACCTCAGTGCCGAAGGCTAAGTGATAGGGCGTTTCGCCTATTTGCAGAAGACTATGACTTTAGGATTTATTCTAAAGGGTAATTTGTAGCTGTGAATAAAGTAATAAAAGAGAGAATTAAAGTGAGGAGCATACCTGTGGTAGTTCGGCTCGTTGTCCGATAGGCCCACAAGACGTTGTTGAGTTCATCTACCCATTTTATTTTCAACTGATCTAACCTCGGCTTGATTCCCTCCAGGATGGCTTTGTTAACTGATTCAACCATTCCATTGGCCTCGGGGTGATAAACAGAAGTGAACACCAACTTAATCCCGTAGCTGGAGCAGAAGTCCTTGAAGGAATTACAATTGAACTAGGGGCCATTGTTAGCTATAACCTGGTTCGGTATCCCATACCTTCAGATGACTGAGCTAAAGAGAAAGTCCTCAATTCTTCTTGAAGTCAAACAGGAGAGAGGTCGGGCTTCTACCCACTTAGTGAAGTAATCAACAGCAACCACTAAATGTGTTGCCCCCCCTACTGCTTTGACAAAGGGGCCTAGGAGGTCTATTCCCCATTGAGCAAAAGCCAGGGTGCAATCATGCTGGTGACTTCATCAGCTGGCTGATGAGTGAGATGGGTGAAGAACTGACATTTCTGACATCTCTGCACAAACTTCTTTGCATCCTCTTGCATGTTGGGCCAATAGTATCCTTGCCGAAGTACCTTATGGGCCAGAGTTTGAGCTCCTATGTGACTGCCACACACCCCCTCATGTACCTCTCTTAATGCATATTCAGCTTCATATGGTGTCAAACACCTGAGGAGAGGTAACGAATAGGATCTTTTATACAAAACATCACCAACCAGGGTATACCAGGAGGCTTTTCTTCGCAATTTCACTTCTTCTTGTTTGTTCCCTGGGACGGTTCCATTGAGGAGGTACGCTCGAATGGGGTCCGTCCAACTGGGAGCCTCTAGATTAATGCTGATTTCCATCACCCTCGACGTTTGGAAGCTCGGTTCATTCAATATCTCGATGTACACAAACTTTACCTCCCCGGAGTTTTCAGACGCTAACTTCGATAAAGAATCTGCATGCTCATTCTCTGCTCTCGGAATTTTTGGAAGCTGGAATTTCTCAAAGTGATTTTTCAACTCAGAGACTGCGGTCACATACTTTCCCAGAATGGGATCAGCGACTTCGCACATAGAATTGACTTGGTTAACTACCAACTGTGAGTCATTGCAAATTTGCAGGCACTTGACTTTGAGCTCGGCTGCCAAACACAGTCCCATGAGGAGGGCTTCGTACTCGGCCACGTTGTTTGTGGCCTCAAAGTTGAACTTCAGAGCGTGTTCACTCCGAAAGTTGTCAGGCCTAGTTAGTACTGCTCCAGCTCCTGCACCCTTGCTATTAGATGATCCATCGACATACAAGGTCCATGTTTCTGCCTCGGAATTTAGTTCCACCTGATTGGAAGTGCATTCTACCACAAAATCTGCCAAAACCTGAGCTCTGATTGCCGACCTTTGCTGGAATGCTATCTGAAACTCCCCCAACTCTACTGCCCATTTGATGAGTCTCCCGGAGCATTCTGGTCTCTGCAAAATTTGTTTTAGAGGTTGATTAGTCATCACGATAATAGGATGGGATTGGAAATATGGCCTCAATTTCCTTGCAGTAACAACAACTGTTAGGGCTACTTTCTCTACTATCAAGTATTTCTGCTCAGCTCCCTGCAGCACCTTACTGGCATAGTATACCAGTTGCTGTTGTTTCCCCACTTCCCTGACCAAGACAGAACTGATAGCAGTATCAGATATCCGGAGGTAAAGATAAAGAATTTCACCTTCTTGAGCCTTAGTCAGCAGGGGCAGCGAGTTGAGGTAGGCTTTGAGCTCGTCAAAAGCCACTTGACACTTAGTCGTCCAGTTGAACTTCTGGGGCTTTCCCGTTTCATCTTTTTGAGCTGTAATTCTCAAGACCTTAAAGAAAGGCAAACACTTATCTGCTGATTTGGAGATAAATTTGTGCAGTGCTGCTATCCTCCCTGCTGAGCGTTGCATGTCCTTGGTTGACCTCGGCGGTTTCATCTCCTCTATTGCTTTTATCTTCTCAGGCTTGACCTCTATCCCAAAAATTTGCCTGATTCAACGCCGAAAGTGCACTTTGCTGGATTCAACTTCATGCTGCACCTTCTAAGATTGTTGAACGTCTCAGCCAAGTCAGTTAAGTGGTCTTCTGCTCGAGAACTTTTGACGACAATGTCATCTACATAGACTTCCAGGTTTCTGCCGATTTGAACTCGGAACACAATTGTGACCATTTTCTAGTATGTTGCTCCTACATTTTTAAGCCCAAATGGCATCATCACATAACAGTAAATTTCATCTCCAGCATAAAATGAGGTTTTCACCTTGTCCTCAAGTGCCATACGGACTTGATGATACCCTGAGTAGGCATCCAAGAGGCTTAACCTCTCATTCCCTGAGGCGGCCTCTACCAGCTTATCTATATTAGGCATGGGATGACAGTCTTTAGGGCAGGCGTCGTTGAGGTTGGTATAATCAATTCACATGCGCCACTTGCCGTTTGACTTTTTCACCATAACAAGGTTGGCGATCCATTCGCAGTAATCTACTCTCCTCATGAACCCAGCCTGTAGCAGCTTCTGTACTTCTTCTCTGATAGCCTGCAATCTCTCTCCTCCGAACAGTCGCCTCTTCTGAGCTACCGTTTTCCTTAGAGGATTGGTGCTCAATTTGTGCACCGCGACTGAGATCGGGATGCCGAGCATGTCGGCCGAAGTCCAGGCGAACATGTCCTTGTTTGGTTTCAAGAAGCTGATGAGCTCTTCTCGTTCTTCTGGTTTGAGTCTCGTCCCGATCTGTGTCTTTCTGTTGGGGTGATTGTCATCTATCTATACCTCTTCCCTTTCTTCCATCGGCGTAGCTCTGGCTTCGCCATCCGGTCTATTATCTGGTAGCTCGACACCTATTACTTGCTGGGTAGTAGGTGCCTCTTGTTGCACTGGCAATTGTAATAGCTCCTTGTCCTTCCGAGGTCGACTGACCGAGGTCATGTAACAGTGTCTGGCCACTTCTTGGTTTCCCCTCAGAGTTGCAATGCCCATAGGCGTAGGGAACTTCATGCATAGATGAGCTTGTGAGACAACGGCGCGGATTTCTGTTAGGGTGGGCTTTCCCACGACAATGTTGAAAGAGGAGGCCATTTTTACCACTAGGAACTGGACTGACGGGGTGACGTACGTTCGGCCTGAACCGAAAGCCACGTTGATCTTTAGTACCCCTTCGACAAGAACTGGCTGATTGTTGAAGCCGTAGATGGGTCCGTCATATTTCTGCAAGAGAGATGGGTCGAGGCCAAGGCTCTCGAAGCAGTGATAATACATTATGTCCGGGGCACTTTCGGTGTCGACAAGGACACGGTGGACTTCACAGTTGTTAATGATAGCTGTTGTGACCAGCGGGTCGTTGTGGGGTCTGACGACGCTGTCAAAGTCAGCCGAGGTGAAAGTTATGGTCTGGTCTTTCCACCCCTCGTCGTCGAGCTTTCTCTTTTGAGCTTGGTTCTGATGTTTGACCTCCCTTACATAGAGTTTTTGTTGTTTTGAGCTCGTCCCTCCTGGTTCCAGCCCCCCATTGATCATATCAATGATTCTGGTTGGGGTGGGCAGAGGAGGTGGAGGTTGTTGGTAGCCAACCCCCGTCTTGTTGCCAGCGCCTTGGGGCCCTTGGGAGTCTGGGCGTTGTTCCCTTATGAATCTTGGATGATCTTTGATGGGGATGAATTCATTCAACATCCCCTTCCGTGCCAAGCTTTCGAGCTCGGACTTCAGCATGTGGCATGCCTCCATGGTATGGCCATGGTCCTGGTGGTAGTCGCATACTTTGTATGATCTCTGGAGGTGGGTAAGCTCCGTAAGGGCGGAGGCCTTCTGAGATCCATTTTGTTTTTTATCTGCATGAAGATCTTCGATCTTGGTAGTGTGAAAGCAATCCAAGTGGGCTGCCTCCCCGTGGCCTGCGAGGTGCTCACACTAGGTTTGTCAACCTTGGTTAGGAATGGACCTCGGTTCTGAGTGGCTTTGAACTTCTTCTTGTGGGGCCCTTCCTCCTTCCATGTGTTTTTGTTGTCGTTGATGGCTGAGGGCTTTTGTGATAACACATATTCTTCCGTAGTGATGAAGTTGCAGGACCTGTCATTGACTTCTTCAAAGGAAGCAGGGGGGTGTTTGATTAGGCTGTCTCGAAACCGCTCATGGGCAAGCCCTTCGGTGATAGCAGCGATTCCTACAGCTTGGTCAAACGAGTCAATTTCCAGCACTGCATCGTTGAACCTGTTTAGGTAGTTTTTGAGAGATTCTCCTTCTCTCTGGGCCACCCGCATGAGCTCTGCTGTTGTTTTCTTAATTAGCCTTCGGTTGGAAAACTTTGTAGCGAAAGCCGCTACCATCTCGACATACGAACTGATTGAGTATGGTTTCAGGCTGTAATACCAGGTGCGAGCATTACCATGCAAGGTGGATGGGAATATTTTGCACATAAGGGCGTCCGAGGATTCTGAGCCTGCATGACAGAACAAAAGGCGTGCAGGTGGTCGTCAAGATCCTTAGTTCCGTCATATGTCTCGAACTGGGGCATCCTGAAGCCAGATGGGTATGGTTCCTAGACAATGTTGGTGTTAAGGGGAGTGGATGCAGGGGTCGAGCTAGTTTGGGCAGGGGCCGCAGCTTTGTTTTCGGCCATCATTCTTTCAAGGTTATCCAATCTTTTGGAAACATCTGAGGCCAATGGTTGTGGCGGATTAGAGGGCGGGGGTGGGATGTGGGATTGTAACTGGGAAGCATTCCTTGGCGAGTTAGTGCTCCGGACGGGAGAGTTAATAGGCTGCTGATGTTGGTGAGGGATTGTGGGATGAGTTGGGTTTAGTAAGTTGATGAAAGGGTCATCAGGGTTGTTTCTGGCTAAGAGTTGTGCAAGTACCAGCTGGAATACTCCGAACTGTTGCTACATGGTATGGAGTTGGGTGGTGATGAGGTCATTGGGGGCAGCAGCTAGGTGTTGTGGGTCGTGTTCTCTCGTTTCTTCTACTTGTTGGCGTTGAGAGGCAGCAGGTGGTGCATTCTGAGATGTAAGGTTGGGATTCGGGGAATGGTCTCTTCCGCCTCCTCGAGACTGGCTTCCTTGCTGAGTTAAACGCGTGCAAACCATCTTAGCTTTGTTTTCTTTAGGGCTTCTTGTTCAGATTCCCACAGACGGCGCCAATGTAGTTGCTGAAAACCTTCAAGATCCTGCTTTAGTGTGATTCGTCTCCGAGTGGTCCTGCAAAATCCCGAGGTTGGTCCTCAAGGAGAAACTCCGATGCTTAAGTCAATAATTTTCTAATAATGTTTTCCTTTTTGTTCCGTCTATTTATCGTGTCTTACCTTGTGGGCTTTGTCCATCTAGGCAAGGCACCCACGTGGCTTGTCCACATCCACGTGGCCTGGTCAACCCAATAATGGTGACATGCTGTGTCTGACGGAGTAGGCGTTTTAGATGAATGTAACGTGCCTTAACGGAGCAACCGCATTAAATGCGCGTGGTGCGTTCTGACGGAGTAGGTCCCTTGAAAAAGGGTGTTTGGTAAGGACAAATGATCAGATGAGGGCGTGCCTATTGTGGCTGTAATGTACTCACGGCGAATTGCCGAGGTGCAGCAGGCTCGGCGCTATAAACCGAGGTGCGGTAAGCTCTGTAGCCGAGGTGCGGTGAGCTCTGAGCTCCGAACTTTGCCTTCGCCTCATATAACTGCCCTTACATGCACCGGCTCAATCTCCTTGACAATGCACCCTTGCTCGACCAGAATCTTCCGGTGATCTTGAGGAACGTCCGGTTAGATGGCCACCACAAGTGGGTACTTGCTCTTGACCTTCCACAAGCCCTTGGCCAAACCCACCACGCCCTCAACATAATCACCATTTCTGGCCAAGAAGGTGACATAAGCCCTCGTGGGAAGGTTTGCTGCCTTGGCCAGGCCGATGACGGTAGTTTTGGTGGTGGTGATGTTGAAAGCCATATTTCGAGCTGTGTGAAGAGTTGAGAGAGGGTGTTTCTTAGGATTTGGAAGTAAAGTGAGAGAAAATGTTTGCTTGGTTGAAGAGAAAACTTTGTGTTTTGAGATAACGGGCTTAATTCAATTTTTAGTCTATTAACTATCACATTGATTTCATTTTAGTCTAGAAACTATGTTTTATTTCTAAGTGGTCTATTAACTTTCATATTCATTTCAATTTCGTCTACTTGGTCAAAGATAACGGAAAATTTCCTATTCGGTTAGAGAACAGTTAGTCCTCTAACTATATTTTTTTTATCTTTTAGTCCTCAAATTTATATTTGTTATAAAAATAGTT